TAAAAGAAAAAAGAAGAAGGAAGAATAGGTAAATGAGAAACGTTTAGCTTGACCACAGGTTGAAATGTAGCATGATAAGTAGAAGGCCTTTGAAGCTTATGGGGGAGATTATGAAATTTAATGTGGAGGGAAACAAATCTTTGATGGTCTTTCAAACAGAAACATCAAGATGAAGGATACACTAACATTACCTAGGCAGGTATATTAAAATGAAGTCTTTCATGGATACCCTTTATTTTGGATAAAATAACAAAATCAGATAAATAAGGGAAACCAGAGGGGGACTATCTAAAATATTTAAGAGGATAGGTATCTTTCAAACGTTGTAATCCATTATGTATAAGTGAGTTTAGATCTTCAAATACTTGAATTGAGTACAATATATTAATCATTAATAGTTTAATCCATTTTTTTAAGCAGATTCTTCACAGATCTCCACTTAGAAGACTATTTTTTAAGCTTTATGTGAGTTGCTGTATAAACTCAAAAGGAATGAAAATGTATTCTCATAAAAATATTCTGTAATTGCATAAAATTATATTTTCCTGGATTAAACTCTTCTGTGTTGGTCACTCATGGTTCATGCTATGCCTCTCCCTGCTCTCCAGAGGAAATTTCCCTTCTCACAGCTTCTCACAGAAAGAGCAGACCTATGTGACTAAGTTCTGTGCCACATGACCAAGCCAGCAACAGCTGACTGGACCAAGAGTGGGTACCTGACCCAAGGGCAGCGAATCCACAGGCTGGTTGTAACTTAAGAGGAAGTCTGATGGAAAAGAGTTCCCAATCAGGGTCATGATGATCAGCTGGACCAACCAGAATGTCTCTCAGGAATCCGAGTTATGACACATGAGGAGAGAACCGGTCAGCTGGCCGTGGGTGGATAAGTGAAAATTCACACAAAAGGAAGCAGAGAGAGTGTGAAAAGTGGCAGAGTTGCCAAAAGAGTCTGTTGGGGGGTTGGTGGTGGTCTTCCCAATGCCTCACAGCATTCAGTCTCTGTGAGGCCGGCTGAATGACTCTGCTGGTCTTCCTGAGAGCGCTTTGTCTTCCTTATTGCCATGTGTAAACTTACAATAAAATTCTGTTCCTGAAACAACCTCAACAAGACACTATTCCTTGCAACCCCCAAATCTAACTAATACATAGTCCCAAATTTGGTAAAATAGTGCTGTAAACTTCAGAGGCAATTTGATACAAAGGGGTTCAATCTGACCTTTTTACTGATTTTAGGAAAAACATTCTGTGAAACAAAATTAGCCATTGTGTATGATTTCAATGCATTTAATACGGTTTGCTAGAAGTCTAAGAAATATCTCCCGTCTGCAACAAAATGATGCTGAGTGTGATTTTTGGGATAAGAACTACGAGGATTGTTGATCCTGGTTCTCTCCGAGAGCGGGTGTCAGTTGCATGCTTGTTTCTAACTCTCAGATTCTGGCTCTCACGTGGTTTGTTAAATAGCGTGCGGCTTCTTCTAAAGGTCAGAGTCTTACTTGAGTATTTAGACATTTTTCTGTCAGGTTTTCATTACCAATCAGGGCAAAAGGTCAAATTCTTTGGTCATTTACTGAGGTACTGGCTAATGCTGATAAGAGGGCACAGATTTTTAAAAAGTAGCTGTATTTTTTCAGTGGAGCAGAAAACCACAAAGGAGCCCAGTAACGCAGGGGTTAAGTGCTCAGCTGCTAACTAACTGAAAGGTCAGTGATTTGAACCCGCCATCGGCTCCCCAGGAGAAAGATGTGGCAGTCTGCTGCCATAAAGATTGCAGCCTTGGAAATCCTATAGGGCAGTTCTGCTCTGTCCTTTAAGGTCGCTATGAGTCAGACTCGACTCGAGGGCAACAGGTTTTACGGGTAGAAAACCATACGGAAATGTTGGAACACTGTGCAGAGGACCAGTCCTTGAACAGGAGTTGGGGACCTGCATTCTCATCTTGGTTCTGTCACTTACCAGCCATGTTATCCTGGGTGAGTCTCTTTTTCTCATCTGGAAAACGCGGGAGTTGTGTTTCTGAAATTCTCTGCATTGTGTTACATCCCCCCATTAAATGTGAACTCCCCCAAAGCAGTGTCATCCTCCCTTGTGTAGTGCTGATCCTAGCACAACTCCTGGTACCTTGTACATGCTCAGGGAGTATTTGTTGCTCTGGAACAATCCATGCTGCACATTATCCATTAAAAAGGCTCTCTTACACATACGGAGTTTTAGCTTTCTTTTTCAAAGTGCTTTCACACAGCAGGCACTCAACCCTCACTGGTCTGAAATATCTCATTTGATTCTCAAGGGGAACATGTCTGAATACTAATACAGAAATATAGAGTACAAAAGCCTAAAAAAACCCTAAACCAAACCCGTTGCCATCAAGTCGATTCCAACTCCACGACTCTATAGGACAGAGTAGAACCGTCCCATAGGGTTTCCAAGAAGCGGCTGGTGGAGTCGAACTGCCAACCTTTTCGTCAGCAGCCGAGCTGTTAACCACTGTGCCACCTGGGCTCCTAGAAGAAGCATAGTAGACTATAAAAGGACTGGCTTAGGGGTCAGAAGACTTGGTCCACCACTAATCCTGTGTGACTGTGGGCAAGTCATTCCATTTCCTCAAGGTTCTGTTTTCTCATCTGCCAGGTGAGACGACTGAATTACACCCTAAGGTCCCTTCTGGCAGCATGCCTCTGACTCTGGTCCTGTTATATATAACAAATGGGTATGAAGGAAGGAGCCCTAGTGGTGCAGTGGTTAAGCACTCAGCTGCTAACAAAAGGTTGCTGCCTCGAATTCACAAATTGCTTTGTGGGAAAAAGATGTGAAAGTCTGCTTCCATAAACATTACAGGCTTGGAAATTCTACGGGGGCAGTTCTACTCTGTCCCATAGGGTTGCTATGAACTGGAATTGACTTGACGGCGATGGGTTTGGTTTTGGTGGGTTTGGGCATGAATGACAGATGACTCCATTGGGAAGGATGTGGGGCGGCATGAGGAAGGAAGGCAAGTTCATTGGTGCAGAGGTACAGGCTCATTAGAAACATCAAGACAGACAGGCTGGTTTTTTATGCTCAACACTTAAAATTCTTTATGAGTATCAGCTGGGGTGGTTCTTCCTTTGCTATTGGTTCATCAAAGCAGGTTACTGACCTCACCACATCTGCTGCCATGCTAACATGTCATGCTAACACCATGGAAGAAAGCCTGCCTGCTTGCAAGTCCATGGAAATGTCCATGTTATTTAAGTTGCCCAATAGTGAGGATCCTGCTATAACGTTTATCACAAATTCTAAGTGAATCATACTTTGTTGTTGTTGTTAGTCTCTGTCAGTCGATTCTGACTCATGGCGAACAAATGCCTTATAGAGTAGAACTGCTTCATTGGGTTTTCTTGGCTGTAATCTTAATGGAAGCAGATCGACAGGGATTTTCTTGCATGGTACTGCTGGGTAGGTTTGAACCGCCCACTTTTAGGTTAGCAGTCGAGCGCAAACTGTTTGTGCTACCCAGGGTCATTCTAGAATACTTAGAGGCCCTTTCTAGAAAATGTGTAGAGGAGTAATCCAATAGTAAATTGCTACTAATCTTCATCACATTAGCATGACCCTGATTTCTTTAGACCAGGGTCTTTGGGGCCTGTTAGTAAGAGGCATCAATTATTTCCTGAATCGCTAAGGAAAGGAATTTTTCAGTTCCACGCATGAAGAAAGAGACACACAGTGCAGGTAGGGTGGCCAGCAAGATTGTAATTATACTTGAAACAGCAGTTTTGTGATGAAGTGTCCAGACAGATGGAGAAACTAGGAAACAGGAAGAAAGACGAGTCGATGCTCCGTTGGCAGCATGACTTTGTGGGCTCCCCAGGGGCTCGTCAGGGCTCCATTAACCAGGGTCATCTCTGGGTTTTCACGACTCATGTTCTCTGTGGACTTTATAATCCTGCATCTTGCTGGGGGCTTAGGTTAGCCCGTGGGATTAAGTACTCTTTTGTGGGATCAACAGTCTGGAAAGGAAGAAATGCCATCATCAACTTTCTGAACCAACATAAGAGATGAAACTCTCCAGAACTAGCTTTGAAATGATCATCTCACCATCATCTAATCCTTTGTTAATAAACAAAAAGAAGAGAATAGTAAGCCTACCCACATCAGAACTTCTTTACCTGCCATCTTTCCTGTTAGCCATGAACAGAAATCTTTTTGCAAGGTTCTGGAATAGTTAGCAGGTCACTGGAAATGAAAACAAATCCAAGAACTTCTTGGAGGGGATAAGAAAGATTTTTTCATTGTGTAAATGCCCTCCAGAGGGTTAATGATAACCAATGATATAGCCATACATGTGTCCATGTGTCATTCCAGGAAAAGGCCAAGTCCCAGATAACATACCAGAGAGATTGGCCTAGTTAGGATTGCCTGATAAAGTTCATAGAACAAATGGTCTAAGCATGACTCTCGCTCTTGGATTATAGTTATTTTTGGTTCCCATAATACAAGAACTGTGTCTCGCTTTGGTATTTTTGGCTATCCAGATTTGTGTGTCTGCAAGCCATCACAGTATAAACGCGGGTTGCCTCAGTTCCGTTCAGCAGCGCCGCCTCTATTTTTGCCTGAAAGGATTATAACTGGTAAACCCATCTGGGCATCCAGATGATGATGACAAACCTAGCCCGGTTCTTGGGTCAGCCTGGGCTGCTGGAGTGAGACAGTGACTCAGAGAGGCAGCCAGAGGGACTCAGGGAATACATTTAGACAACTGGTTCCAAAAGCAGCTCCTGTACTCATGCATATTAACAATCCCCTGTTGTCCCCAAGGCAGAAAGTCTGAGCCTGCTGCTCCTCTTCACATTCACGCAAATCTGTCAGGCTGCCTTTTCTTTCCTTGGACATTCACCTGCTTTGAAATATGTGGTGGATGGCGGTGGTGGAGAGGATTGAGAAGGGTTTGGGCAGAGGCAAAAGGCGTGACTTGCCTCTGTTACGCTGCTCTGGTATGGTTCAAATCTGGATGGCTCAAGGGCCACATGCCTTTAGGGATGTTCCTGCCCTGCCTCTCCTCTCTCAGGTTGGTAGACACCGCGGGAAATGAAGCCCGAAGGCTCTTCTGAGTAAGGAGTGCTTGCTCTGTTAAAAGCAGACGAGCACATTTACCTGCAGCTGAATGGGGGTACCGTATGAAGTTAGCGCTACATCCTCCTCTGCGCCATCACTGTCTCGGGCTGAAAGCCAAAGGAGGGCTGAGTTAGTGTCAGAGAGTCACTTGGAAACAGCACACGAGGACAATGAGATCAATGGCTTGCCAAGAGGCTCCTGACCCTCTAAGGCAAGAAAATACTATAAAAAAGAATCTCAATTTAAGCTGTTAAAGAAAAAAATCCATGATTAAAAAAATGTTCTTAAAAGTTGATGAGGAAGGCTGTAGGTGGATAGCTTTTCTGTGTCCAGGAGAAGAACATCTGTGTTTAATAACTGAAGAGTCCTCATCCCTTTCTAGAGAAAGAGCCCTAGTGCTGGGTCAGTCCTTGCTCTCTAAGCACAACCCATGGGACCCTGGGCGTCTCATGCTCTTCAACGGTAAAATAAAAAGATTCACCTAGATTATCTCTAAGGTCCCTTTAGGATACTGTACAAGTTTTGATTACTAGACGTAATAAAAAAGATTCCTAGAGACAATTCTATCCTGTCATAGAATAATCACACATGCACACAGTTATTTGTTTAACGTCTGCCTCCTCAAGCAGACTGGAACTCCATGAAGATGGGAACTGTGCCTGCTTTTTGCATGCTTCATCTCTAGGGCCAGGCACTTGGGTTAATCCGTATTCATTGTCTGATGGTCACAGACATAGCCATTTCCTAGTGGGCACGCTTGGAGGCTCTAGCGTTCAGGTCATGAACCTGGAGCAGGACTGCTTGGTCCTCTCACTTGTTAACTGTGCTATCTAGGGCCAAGGGCCTTAACCTTCTGTTGTCTTTTTTCCTGATGGGAATAAAAGAAGGATAATGATGGCCATAATAGTACATCTCTTTCATAAGGCTGGTTTGAGGAGTAAATCAATTAGTAGATGTAAAGCCCTTAGAACAAGGCATGCTATAGAGAAAACCTGGAGCCCTGGTGGTGCAGTGGTTAAGAGCTGGGCTGCTAACCAAAATGTCGGCAGTTTGAATCC